CGGTTTGCCGGTTTTGTCAAGAATTCTAAGGTTAGACCCTGAAGAACTGTAGACAAAACCCAGGTGTCTGTAGTAGTTTCCTCCCATGTTCGAGAGAACAGGGAGAGGCGACCTCCTATGGGGGGACCTTCCCCAGAGTCACTTATTCCTCCGATAGGGACGGCCCCCCGCACCTCGAAAGGGCCGCTTAGACTGTTGTAATTGCCTGGGTTTGGTCCCAAAGCGTTCCGCCTGTCGGTCCGATTTTGGGGTAAAGGGGCGTGCTGGTTGAGACCAGGTAGAGCCCTGGTTGTTGCCCCTGAATCCCTGTCGTCGATAAAAGGGGGTAGGCTTTCTATCTGATCTCCTGCCTTGATGAGCCAATACCTTCTTTTTGTCCTTATTTTCTACTAGGTATGGCTCCAGGGCGTCTCCAAATAGCTTTCCACCAGAATAAGGAGCGGTGGACAAACGACTCTTGGATTTTAAATCCGCCTTCCATTGCTTCAGCCAAAGTAAGCGCCTGGTTGAAATATTGGCTGCTATTGCTCTGGCTGAAAAACTGGCAGCATGCAAAGTAGCATCTGCTGAATACTCAATCGCCGCTAACGCTTTCCCCAAGGTTTGATGTGCACAAACTTGATCCTGAGGGATTAAATTTTGAAGCTCCTGGAGCCAAGTGACAGAGGAACGAGAGAAAAAGGAGGCAGAAGTGGAAGCCTTTATTGCCCACCCTGATGCCTGATGCACCCTCCTGAGGGAGTATTCTGATTTTCTGTCCTCCGGTTTTAATGCCTCCGCCATGTCCCCAGCAATCGTGGTATTGGAAAAGATGGGAGTGAGGGAAGTGTCAACAAAGGGAACCTCCAAGAGGTTGGTCAGGGATGGGGCTACGCTGAACAACTTTTTGTCAGAGGACCCAGGAGCCGGAGAAATACCCAGATTAGTCCACTGCTTTTTAAGCGTATTGGTAAAAATGGGGGGACAGGGAATGTGTTTTTGAGTAATCGTGCGCTCAGCAAACACTGGATTAGAAATCTGACTGGTGGAAGGGGTGGGTTCTGGTTCAGGTTCTGGCTCTAGCTGGGATGAAGCCGAGGCTTTGGCCAAAATAGTTTTAAACAGGGCAGGATTAAAGAGCCCTACAAAGGGAGATGATTCCTGAGAATCATCTTCATCCTCTGATAGAGCTGGTCCTCGTGATTCCTCAACATCGGAATAATATTCTCCGCTCAGAGAGGAATGTTCAGAAGGAATGGACAGGCGTAATCCGGTGTGGGAGATTTACGCTGTGAGGGTGTAGAATGTTGAGATTTCTGCAAAGATGAAAGACATCCCAAGACCTGCGTAAGCATAGATTGCAATTGTTCTGGAGCAAGCGTCTGTGGCTGCTCAGAACGGAGACCAGCGGCCGTGGGAGTGAACGTGGCCGAAGGAGGAGGAGGGGGAGGGGTAGGCTGAGGAGTTCCCCATGTCGGATTTGGAATGGACGCCATGGGATTGTCTATTAAAGATTGGGAGCCTCCATCCGGAGACAATGGTCTGTGTACCTGTGCAATTGTGGTAACCTGGGGGCTGAAAGGAGAAGCCCCAGGAGGTTGAGAGACAACCGGTACCTGCTGTGGCAAAGCAGCTTTTTGAGCCCTGGATATCTGTCTCTCAAGAGCCTGATGTCTCCTGGCAGCCTCTTTTTCAGCCCTTTTGGATGGAGCCTTACTTGAGACAGCTTTTGCCTTGGCCCTGAGCCTGTCCGCTACCTCAGTCTTTGATGATTTGCGCCTTCGCTTAGCAGGAGGACTGGTAGGTGCCAGAACGAGATCGGGCTGTGACTCCTCCGCCATTACACGTGATCTATAGATGAGAGTGAAAAGGCAGCAAAGGAAAATAGTGTTGAAAAAGACAGGTGACAACCAGTGAAAAAACGCCCCCGAGATTCAATCAGGGAGATTGTGTCCCTAAATCTCTCAGCCCAATACTGAATATGGTTGTATCAAGTGAAAAGAAACAACAGACTGGAAAACCAGTATGAACTCCTTGCAAAAAGACCTGAATCCCTTCAGCACAAGTCTGAGGGTGGGATAACCAGGTAGCAAAGGCTGGACGGAACCAAAAGCGGCCCCCCTGCCAAGGAGAAACAACAGCCTCTATCCCTTCAGCACAAGACTGAGGGTGGGATTGATGAAGGCTGAAATATTAATTCTGGTGATCAATCCAAAACAAGGATTAGGCCTGAGACCCTTCAGAACAAAGTCTGAGGGTGGGTCAACAACAAGCAGGCTAGGAACAAGGCCCAGAAATTAAGGCCCACTCCCAAAGATAGACAAGGTAGTAAAATTCGTATTGCCAGAGGCAATGTCAATTAGGTAAGGCTGGGAACCACAGGGGGTATTAATTCACTTGGTTCTGCCCTCCCCAGAACACGGGGGGGGGGGAACTAAACCAGCCACCAGAAATCACCAGATTCGTAAAAAAAATGGCGACCGCCTTAATCACGTGGGGACCGATCTGCTGTCCCACGCCAGCCCTGCAGTGCAGGCCACCATATAAAATGGCGGATGTCGGCCACGTGGAGAAAGCCCTACAATGCAGGCCTCAATTCCAAATGGCGGCCACTGCCACGTGGCTGTGCGATGGGGCTGGGAGAAATCGAAAGAGAAAGAAAACACCGCACGCCTGTAAAGTGAGAGCTTTTTATGCTCTCTGCCAGAAGAAACAAAAAGGGGGGGGTGATCTACAAAGCTTGGACTGTGCGCAGTCCCACGCTCCCCCTAAAACAATTGCGCGCAGGTAGAAAGGCAAGCGAGAGCAACGCGATCGAAGAAAAGACTCCCCCCCAATATCTAGCGATCCGCGCCTCTTGGGGCCTTAGCGGCAGCTCCGCACGCCCCAAAGAACGATCGCGCTGAAAAAAGCGGCAACCCGGCAGCAGCCAGAGATCAAGAAACTCTGCCTGGCTGAAACTTGCAGGCCCTTTGCCTCCGTGGAGGCCCGCCGATCAACTGGGGCGAGCGGAGAAAAGACTCCACAACCCCCAGTCTCCGTACTCTCTGGCAGGCTCTGGGAAGGCAGGGGTCCACAAACCAACCAACCCCCTTCAATCCCCTGGGTAAGGGAAAGGACGGGGGAAATAGCGCTAATAAAAGAACAGGAGGAAAGGATCAGAGGGGTGGGGGAGTAAACAACTAAATTGAGGAATTGAGGGAAGGGTAGAAATATCCAAAATAGTTAAATAAAACCTGAGTCTGGAGAGCAGAGAAACAACACGCCTTGTCTGGGTATAAGACTAAGTCGGAACTGGGCATGTGCGGCCAGGCAGGAGGCGTGGCTATCTCAGACTTAGTCTTATTGGGTACAAGGGACTTCAGGAAACCCAAATCAAGTGGATTATCCATCCCTCATGCTGGAGAATTAAGTACTCTTATTCTAGCTATTCACTCATCCTTCAAACAAACCAAAAGCACTAAACAGAGGAAGAAGCAACAGTAATGGTAAGAAGCCTATGTATTTAATTGAAGATCTCCTTTGACCAGTCTTAAAGAAAATTCTGAATGACTCAGCAACAGATTTTGCATTTCATAAGTTTTTTATTTGACAGAAAAAATCTCCTTGCTGTACATATCAAAAAAAATTAAATGCTTTTAAGAAATATGAAGAAACTTCTGTTCCCACCCTCCCTGACTTAGGGTTTCTCAGCTTCTTCTCAGCAAAATTTCAGTTACCTTCCCCCTAAAATGCCTGACTGCCCCTGTTCCAGTTCCAAACTTAACCCCTCATGACCTGGCTCAGCTGATCAATATGAAAGAGTCTCCTTTGAGGGAGGAATAAAAAGGAAAAAGAGCACTGCATATTAAATTCATTTTGTTCTGGGGGGGGAGCAAGAATAGTTTAACCCTCAATTTTGCCACCACCAAGAATCGACTCCACTGTTGCAGGCTACTGAAAGAAACTGCCTGCTTTTCTTCAGAAAAGCTTGATAGAAACAGTGGGGAACAGAGGAAGGAGCTACTAAATAGCACTGCCTTCCATCTAATTCTGGGCTGGTAACATGCGCTCCAACTTTTTATTACAACCCTCCACCATTTCAAAAGGGGGGCTGAGAAACACTAAATCAAACAGATTAGATCACATATCCGTCTACTTCCCACCCACCCATTTGTGCGGTTTTTTTTTTTAAAAAAAACCTTTTAAGTCTAAATCAACAAAAAGGAGACAGCTCTCTCAAAACACAAGAAGTAAAGATTTTAGCTGCAAAATGCACAGGAAAAAAAATGCTCACAGGAGAGGAAAAAAAAAAATCAAATGAACATCACCAACTGTTGGAAGAAGAGGAAGAGGAGCATAGAGGCTGTGGATCCTGGTGGGTGTTGAGCAGAAATATCCAGGGACAAGGGGAATGTAGCTGCCGACAAATGACGGGCAATAAAGACAGGGACAGTAAAGGAAAAAACTGATGAGAATAAAAAGGTGATGGCAAAAGAAGAGATCTCCACTCTCCCCCCCCCCATGCAAACACACTGGTTTCCAGTGGACATCACAGGAGGCGGGGGACTCCCACCTGGAACAGCACTGGAGGCTGGGGGTGGCGCAGTCTGTGGATGCAAGGACAAGGACTTTCCGCTCTCCAAAAGGCTTAGGGGGACCTTAGGGAGAAAAGGGAGAAGAAAAAATTAAGCAATGCAAAACAAGATAGCAATCTAATCTCTTTGCCCAGAGGTGATTGGTATAACCATGTACAAATATTTTAAAGTACATTGTATTAAGGAAACATGACTACTGAAATACTACTGGTACAAAGATCATGACTGAGGAGAAAAAAGGAAATTCAAAAAGGGGAAAAGTGTATATATTGAAATGTATAACGCCATTGGAACACTTCTAAGAGCCCAATGTATTTCCAATCTACTAAGGACGCAAACAGATTAGTAAAATGACTTCCATACACTTAAAATTCATACATAGAGAACATATAGAAACCATTTTTGCTTAGAAATAAGTTACAGCAAAATTTCCCTGACAGTATGTAAAAGGGAAATTTATTGTTTTACTTCTCCAAGTTGAGGAATGATAACCAATATTGCTAAAGTGGCAACAAATGCCAGAAACTACCACCTTCACCCATTACTGCCACTAATTGCTGGGCTTTGAATACCCTCTTTACAAATGGCCTTAGAATCAACTACCCTTGGGAAATAACAGTAGGAATACAAATAGTCCTCGATTTACAACCACAATTGAGCCCAACATTTATGTTGCTAAGTGAGAAATTTGTTAAGTGAATTTGCCCCATTTTACGACTTTTCTTGCCACATTTGTTAGGTGAATCACTGTTAAGTTAGTCACATGGTTGTTAAGTGAATCTGGCTTCCCCATTGACTGCTTATCAGAAGGTTGCAAAAGGGGATCACATGGCCCTGGGACACTGCAACTGTCACAAATATGAACCAGTTGTCAAGCATCCGAATGTAAATCACACGACCATGGGGATGCTGCAACGGTCGTAAGTGTGAAAAAGGGTCACAAGTCATTTTTTCAGTGCCATTGTAACTTCAAACGGTCACTAAACGAACTGTTGTAAGTCGAGGACTACCTGTATTTGTTATTTTCTGTAAAGAGAAAGAAAGCATCATTGAGGTCCTCTGAATAATCCATTTTCATCATACCAGACTATTCGAGGAATCATAAAATATTACACATAAATTGTCATCTTTTCATTTTTCTTTCTCATCCCCTTTTCTCTGTTTGTATTTTTAAATTACAAGTGCAAGAGCAGAAAATGAGTGGGCTTTATTATGGGAGCTTTTTAGGTTAAAGAATACAGCATAAATAGTTTAAATAAGGAAGAAGAATGGTCAAGTCTTACTGAATTTAAGAAGTCAGTTCTGATAAGTTTCCAGAGAACAAAGGAATAAATGCTCTATAGCTCTCTGGATCTCACACTTCAAATCAGAAGGGAAGGAAACAGAACATTTTCTGAAAATGGAGTATGTTCAGTCTAAGGACTCTGCTTTGAGATTAACAGAGTCCTCAGCTGCTTTCGGTTGGCAAGTGAGCTTAAATTTCAGAGAGCAAGTGGATAAGAAACATATTGGATATAGTCACAAATTATCCATTTACCAGAAGAGAAATTAGCAAGGATAATCCTCTTTGATCTCCAGTCTAGCCAGGACATTCCATACCATCATTATCTCAGCTTAGCTTTGTCTTTTTTAGACAGGCCCACTAAACAAATAATGCTCGGTGACACTCATGGAAATAATGATGATATCAGTACTCCGGCAATTTATCTGAAGCAAGCCACTTATTTATACCTATATGTAAATGAGAAGAATTCACAGACTTCAAGCTGGAGATTTTAAGATTAAAGACACTAGCATAATTTCACCATACCTTCAGGAAATGAGTAAGAACACACAGTTTCAGAAATAACAAAACTATAATAAGTACAGTCAAGTCAGTCGAATTGTTACACTTAATAGGACCTTTAGCAATTGTTAGGCATTTCTAAAACTAGCAAGTCATGCTCATTACCTTGAAGTTCTGCGACGTGGAGCTCGGGGACTGGGAGATCTGCGTCGCCGTTTTCGTCCTGGAGACCTGCTGATGCTTTGTCTGTTTCTCTGCAGGGACCTATCCCTAGACCTGTCTCTGGATAGAGAATGGGGGTATGAAACTGACTTGGATTCAATGTTAAATGCATTCTGGAAATAATCCCTAAACAACTTCTTGGCCAAGGGAAGTAAGACTTGCTGAAGAGACCTACCTACGTCGATCCCTTGGAGCAGAGGGTGGTTGGACAGGAGGGGAAATCTGACGCCGTTCTGCTGGGGAGTAGCTCAGAGAGCGGGAATCCCTCAGTGAGTCAATTGGTTTTCTAGGGCTGCGTGACCTAGCGATAGAAAGAGCCGATGATAAAAAAAAATGGTCAAAAATGGGAAGAGTCACTGACTGGAGGAATGGATTGAAAAGATGAATTAGCGGAGATGGCAAATTTAATTGCATTAATTAGGAAAAAGAATGTAAATAGTTTGTGTCCACCTGGAAACATTATTTGGACTTTATGCTCAAGAGAAAAAAAATAAATTTTGATTTTAGGTTTTGACGATTAAGTAGATCATGATTATAGAAACAGCTAGTATTTACTGTTTTAGATAAGTAAAAAGTTAATATTTAAACTGTATTATGTATCTCACTGCATTGAAAGAAGCTGGAAGTCACTGCTTTTTTATTCTTTTCTCATATTATCCATTTTCTCTTTTCCTTTCCTCCCCTTTCCTCTTCTACTTTATTTTTAAAATATTTAGGTACAGCCTACCATATGCAGACCTATTTTAACTGATACACCTCTAGGGCCACCAATCTTCCACAGATCTTTTAGCATCTGGAAGTCTTCTTGGACTATTTCCATTCTAAACATTCAGCAAGGTATTCTCTTAGGGTGCCAAGCCAAGGAAGGGAAGTGCTAGTTCACCTCCACACTTCAACATTGCCAATAACGAATAGAACACTGATTCTCAGGTGCAAAGTATACCTCTTCATTAGCAGAATACTTACTTTCTCTTCTCTGGAGATGGTTTCTTCTTCAGGGAGCCCTTCATCACTGCCTGGAGTCCTGTTTTAGGCAATGGTGTTGAGGAGGACGAAGATGAGGAAGATGAGGAAGATGAGGAAGAGGAAGAGGCTGAAGAAGAGGAGGACGAAGAGGAAGAGCTGCTGCTTGAACTGCTTGAGCTTCGAGAACGGCACTTACGTTTGCCCATTTCCAAAGGTTGCTCATCACGATGAGTCTCTTTCAGCACTGGGCTTGGTGGCCTTTACAAGGAAAGGGAAGAGGGTATAATTAAAGACTGGATGGCTGCAACAGAGGAAACAAGATTCAGGCAGGTTAACTGGAGAAACTCAAATTTCTGAATGGATACACAAATTCCAGCTCATGCTATTTATGGGAAAAGTCTAGGAAAACAGCTGATTTGAGTCTTTTATAAAAAATTCTTAGCAGCATATTCAGCCTATTATCAGTCAAAAAATAGGGATCCTTATGCCTCACAAAATGACAGCCCTGGTTGGCATAAGCAGTCCGAAATGCTACAAAGAAAACTGACTTTATTTCTTACCACACTAACCCTCATTTTTTTTCTTCTTTTCCTTACATATATAGATACTTCAAACCAATCCCCTCATTGCAACCACCTTTCAGATATGCTCCTGAGGATTATGAGATATTACTAGAAATAAAGTAAAATCAAAACTGATAACATTTTGCAACACACTACTTTCCTTTTTTTAATTAAAAGAATCTACCATGCTGGGAACTGAGCAGCTTAGGTTTTCCACTGACAAAGGCTACTGCTACTTCATGGAGACTCATTTCCTAGGAAGCAGAGATGAGTCACTTGTATTAACAGATCCAGAATACAAACTTTTTGAGTTGAAGATTTAGGCTATCCTTGCAAACAAAAAGTAACCATGACTAAACAGCTTCCCAAACAGCAAAGACTCAAAATGGAACAATGTTTTAATTACAGGTTCTATCAAGCTATCTCTTGCTATCTCATTAATTCTCTACACTCATTTTCTTGCTCTGCTATTCCAAGTCTTAAAAAAAAAACCTAGTCCTCCACACTAGTATCTTGAAAACAGAATTACAGAAGATACATAAGCCAAGATTGCATTTAAATTCTGTTAAATACATATTTTGCAAAAAAGATTATTATCCATCTTTTTCAGGCATACTTTGATGCAGTACAACTCTTGCATAAAACCTACACAAAAAATACAGATAATACAGAGCAAAACTGGAGTCCATAAGAATACAGTACAGTATCTATTAATAGTACCCAGTAACATAAGCAAGCGTGACCTCTGGTGGACAAAGGCCATCATTACTATCTTTCAAAAGCATACCAATGAAGCATTTCTGAAGAGTAACAATATCAGGTCTACACACTACATAGTGAACATATGAAATGTATGGAAACTTACATTTCAACTGACACTATTAATATGAGAACCGAGAAAAATACAGATGCTGAAAGGTATACACAGTGACCACTCTGTACATAGGCACATCCAAGACCTGCCAGTGCCCGAGCAGTTGACCTGAGCCCTCATACCAGAATAGCCATGTAGCAACAAAGATCCTTTCTTCATCTGGCTGTTCTCTGGAATCATCTATCTCCAGAAATTCTCTTAGAATCAAGTAAGGCTTTGTTGCCCCTTGACCTCATTTGATTTCCCTACAGAGGAAGAGAGCTTGTTTCCCCCATATCACAGCCAAGCATAAAAATACAAGCTCACTGGCCTATTTGTATCTGCTTATAAAGGAGGCTAGATTAGAATTCAACTCATGCAAGAGTTCAATCAAAACTTCAGTTTTTAAATCTAGCAATACTAGAAACAAAAACATCATTGGTTGTGTTATACACGCCTGTATCTATTTTATATATTTGCAGAGTATCTGAGACAATGCTTATGGACTATGGGTATGAACATCTTTTATGGCAGAGAAGTCATTCCAGAGACTTGGGATTAGAAAGTATATAAGACAAGGACATGAATAAAATGAATGTGCATATACCTTTTAACTGACCAAGAAGAAACTGGATTTTGGGTTATTACCAGGCAGTGACTACTGACAGCTTAAAAGACATGGAAAAAAGGGATTACTAAGAAGAAAGGTTCTTACTGTTTCAGTTCAATCTCAGCCTCAAGCTCCTTTGTTGCCTGATCATGGGGACTGGATTCAGATGAGCTGGACTCAGAATCAGAAGTTGAAGAAGACGAGGATGAGGAGGAAGATGAGGATGATGATGAACTGGTAGAGGAGGCAGATGAACTTCTCTTTGCCTTCGAAGGGGCAAAGGGTGGAGGAGAGGGAAGAGCAAGTTGTAGGACTGTAGGACAGCTGCTCCTGGTGTCATCCTCCATGGCGACAGAAGCCAACTGCGACTCAGTCTCAAGGGTAGGTAAGTGCACCTCAGACCTGTCTGCTGCTTTTCCTTCAGATACAATTTCCTCTTCTTTGGGGGATGGTACTAGGAGAGAAATCAATGCTGGTAAGGGGCTTGAAGAAGCCGAGGAGGAGGAAGCAGAGGAGGAGGAGGAGGAATGGGACGACAATTTAGCTTTTACAGGAGAGAGGGAGCCTGCATGAGAACTGCTTCTACCTGACAAAGGTGCACCAACTCCTGTATCATCTTTAATTATAGCTTGGTGCATGCTCTGATTCCTATCTCCTGGGCTGTTTCGGATGGCTATGGAGTCACCATTCTTTGACACTGGAGGCAAGTCATGTAGCATAGATGGATCGGGAGAGAGGGCCTTTCGCAATTTAGGAGATTCCTCACAAGGTGGACTTAAAGCGCAAGGAATGGCAATGTTGTTTTTGCTGTGCCAAAGAGAGGAGCTTGCTGGTTTCTCTTGGAGGTCAGACTTGGGATATCTCTCTAGAACAGGAGGAGAGCGAGACTTTCTTCCTGGAGATGTGCAGGCTTCCTGGGAGCCTGATCTGGAATGCTTCCTCACAGGAGATGACTGACAATCAGGGGATACTCTGGACCCAGTGCCTTTATATGATGCTGTTACACGTGATGCATCTAATCTGGGAGGTGAACGGGATGCATTCCTACTTGTTGCAGTCCTCTCTGGGGACAACTGCAACATCTGTACTGGTGATTGGGAATGACCTCTGTGTGGTGGTTTAGATTTCTCCTGGCGAGAAGAGGATCTTGAGCGGCTTCTAGCTGGAGAGGAAATTGACCGTTCCCTACACAAAGAACCCTGAGATTTATCTCGTCGCCTGGAGAGTGAACGGGAGCGACTCCTCCATGAGGGAGAGCCAGATCTTTCTTGTCGCAAAGAACTACTGGGCCTGCCACCATAGGATGATGACTCAGACCGCTGTGGATGTGTGCTGGTGCTTGATTTTTCTCCGGAAAGTGATCTGGACTGTCCACGTCTTGGAGGTGTTCGAGATTTGCGTCTAGGACTCACTGGTGACAATCTCCGTCTTCTTGTAACTGGTGTTCTAGACTTGTCTCTTGCCCGTGATCCAGACCTACGTCGCCGTGGAGGGGTTCTAGATTTCCTTCTAGGCCTTGGAGATGATCCAGCTCTGCAGTGGTGTCGGGGTGTTCTGGATTTGATTTGGGACCATGGGGATGACCCAGATCTACGTCGTCTGGGTGGTGTTCTAGACTTTATTCTGGGTCTAGGAGATGAGCCAGACCTACGTCGCCTTGGAGGCGTTCTGGACTTCAGCTTGGGTCTTGGTGGAGACCCAGACCTGCCACGCTTCAGAGGAGTTCTGGATTTTGGTCTAGATCTAGGTGGTGACCTTGATATTCTGTGTCTTGGAGGTGTTTTTGATTTTATTCTTGGTCTGAGCGGTGACACAGATCTGCTCTCAGATTTCTCTTTCCATTCCGGGGAAGAATCTGAACTGCTCTCATTAGAGTGCATTTTTGGCTTCTCTTTAGTCCCAGAATAAGAACCTGATCTGCTTCTTCGAGATGCCTCTTTAAATGCCCCTTTCTTCTCTAAAGGTGATCTGGGCCCCACCACTGCAGCTTTAGAAGTTTCTCTTATTTCTGGAGAAGATCCAGGTCTATTGTGCTTTGTAACAATTGCAAATGTGTTGTTCTCTGGTTCTGGAGAAGAATATGCTTTGCCATGCATTGGGGATGAAACTGATTTATTCTTGTTGACTGACAGCCCCACAGAGCGACTAAGTCTGGGAGGTGACTGAGATTTATTATCTTCTGGAGATGTTGATGAAGAAGTAGAAGAGGAGGAAGAGGAGGAAGAGGAGGAAGAGGAGGAAGAGGAGGAAGAGGAAGATCCAGATCTACTCCGCCTTGATGGAACATCTGTTTTTTTAAGTACTGGTGATGACTCAGACGGCATTTGTTTTGAGGAAGACTGTAATTTTTTTCCAGAGAGAGATGAACCTGATTTACTCTTTTGGCATGGAGATGAAGCACTTTCCATTACTGCCATGGAACTAGATTTGTTGTGCCCTGGAGAAGATCCAGATTTTGTTTTTACTTCTTGGAATTTATTTTGCTTTGGAGGAGTTTTAGATTTGCCATTTAGTTCTGGAGATGATCTGGATTCACTTCTCCTGGAGGGAGATTTCTCTTTCGCTGCCTGAGGGGACAGTCCACATCTGACTTGCTTCAAAGGTGAAGATTTTGTCATCTCAGGAGAGTATCTTGACTTGGTCCTGGGAGGTGATCTTGACTGCTCTTTGGTCACTGGGGAAGAGCCAGATGTGCTTTGCCTTGGAGATGATCTAGTCTTCTTTAACTCCAAGGAATCATTTTTGCATTTATCCAGTGGTGGTGAAGATTTCTTCTTAATTTCTAATGAAGATCCAGATGCAACTGGTCTTAGAGGAGAAAGAGATGTCTCTCTCAAAGCCAGAGGTGATCTAGACGTGATCTGCCTTCGATGAGGTGATTTAGGTTTTTCTTTTGTTCCTACAGACCTTCCAGATCTGCTTTGCTGCAGTGGAGATGCAGACTTTGATTCTGGAGAAGCTGCTTGCCTTATTGGCGATAAGGAGTTTTCCTTTGCTGATGATTGAGTGGAACTAGACCGACTTCGCCTTGGAGATGATCCCATTTCCTTTTTCAGCATTGGGGATGATCCTGCCCTTGACTTTGTTTTCACTTCTGGAGAGGACTCAGATCTGTTTCGCCTTCTTGGTAATCTCATCTCTGATTCTGGAGAGGACCCAGATATGCTACGTCTTGAAGGAGACTTTGATTTCTTTCGCAGTGCTGGAGAGGAACCAGATCGACTTCTTTTTGAAGTGCTTTTAGCTTTTTCTTCAGCTGCTGAAGAAACATCAGGCTTCCTTGTTAGCCTTGGAGATGAACCAGAACTGCTCCGAGGGGACATTCTGGTTTTGTTTCTGAGGGCTGGAGGTGACCTGGATTGACTACGCCTAGTAGGTGATCTTGATTTCTTTTTTGGTGTTGGAGAAGAACCAGATCTACTTTGTCTGATGCTTAATCTTGATTTCTTTTTTACTCTTGGAGAGGAACTAGAACAACTGCGCCTTGGAGGTGTTCTTGATCTTTTCTTCCTTGACCTTGGAGAGGAACCTGATCGACTCCTTCTTGGAGACAATCGAGTTTTCTTTTTAGCTTTTGGAAGTGATCCAGACCGACTACGTCTGGGAGATGCTCTTAATCTTCTTGATTCAGGAGAGGAACCAGAAAGACTACGTCTTACCACTTTTCTGGATCTTTCCCTCATTCTTGTATATGAATCAGATCGACTTCTCCTAGAAGAAATTCTGGAAACTTTCCGATCTGGAGATGACACAGATCTGCTTCGTCTGGCTGAAATCAAAGATTTCTCTCTTCTTGGGGATGAACTTGATCGTCCTCTCCTGGGAGGTGTCCTAGTTCTAGATCTGCCTCTTCTCGGTTGTGTTCTGGAATGGGACCTTGCTCGCCTGGGTGGAGTTCTTGATCTAGACCTGCCTCTTCTTGGTGTTCTTGAATGTGATCTCCCCCTTCTTGGCGGTGTTCGTGATCTGCCCCATCTTCCACTATTTCTGCTTCTAGACCATCCATGCCTTTGGGGAGTTCTAGAGCGAGACCAACCACGCCTCTGAGGGGTACGGGATCGACCCCATCTGGGAGGTGTACGTGAACGAGATCTACCCCATCGCTGAGGTGTTCTTGAATGGCCTCGCCACTGGGGTGTTCGAGAACGTCCCCTTCGCAAAGGAGTATGTGAACGGGACCGAGCACGTCTCTGAGAACAAGACCTGCCCCTCCTTGGTGGGGTACGTGTGCGTGATCTACCTCTCTTTGATGGTGTCCGGGACCGAGATCTACCTCTACGAGTAGTGGGTGTTTGAGAGAGAGATTTGTCTCTCCGGCTGGCTCTTGCTCTGGAGCCTTTAGCTGGAGGGGTGCTGGATGGTTCACATCGAGATGTCTTAGAAGACTGCTTTTGCCCAGAACGAGAGATTTCAGGGGATGAGCTAGATTTCTCTCTTTGGGTAGAGGCTTTCTCTTTGTCTTGCCTTTTGGAAGGGCCCTCTGGAGAACAGTTGCGAGAAACTGGAGCAGCCTTAGTTGGTGGGGAAGGAGAAGAGGAAGAAGAAGAGGAGCAGCTACCACTCTCTGAAGGAGAAGGTGAATGCTGAGGTGTAGAGTCCTCATGAGACATCTTCTTCAATTTGGTCTCAACACCCTTAGAAGCAGATGAGGAAGCTGTAAGCTCCTCGTGGTCAGGAGAAATCTTAGCCTTGGATGGTGGAAGAGTCCCATTACGATCCTCTGACTGCTTCTTAGCAAATGGAGAGGAACAGGCAGGAGACCTCTTCTCTTTAGAAGGGGGACGCTTTTCTCGAGAAAGATCATTCAGCACAGGAGAACGATGCATGTACTTTGGATCATGCTCAAGTGAGGGGGTGGATTTTCGACCCCCATGCCGAGCAGACTTTCTGTCCTTGTCTCTTTCTTTCTCTTTGGCAGGAGATGAAGGACTTGGAGAACGCTGAAGGGTCTCACGTACTGGAGAATGCTTGGATATTTTCTAAACAGGAATATAAAAAATAGTAACTAGAACTGTCCTTTGAAAAAGCAAAAAGGCTCAGCAGCCAGCTCCCAACTATATTACAAGCATTTTGAAAGTGAAAAGATCACTAGGGTTGTTTAACTCTAAGCAACTCATTAATTAGCTGTCATTTTACAACAGCATTTCCCAACCTGGGTAATTTTGTATGGACTTCAACTTCCAGAATTCTTAGCAATGGCACATTCAATGGAAAATTCTGAGGATTGAAATTCACACATCACAAAACGTTGGACACACTGTTCAATAAACTATAATTAGATTTTAAGTTTGAGGAAGACACTGTTTTAATATAGTAAAAGAACTTAGAATCCACCATTTGTCCTCTCCAATTTTAATGAACCAATCAGTATTCCCAAGTCATTTTGTTCCAAGTGACTTTATTTATGTAAACGTTTCTCACTTTCCTAATGCATATATTATTTTTTACCTCCCGCTTCTCTCTGCTTTCTCGAGGACTTGTGTTCCTGCCTTGCCGGGCAGGCTCAGCAGAAGATGAACGCTTTTTCTCTCCCAAATTCTTAGAAACCACTTCGGTGTCTGGTTTTCGTGAACTTGACAAAGGAGACTTGCTCTGCCGTCTAAGGAAGCTCCTTTTTTGCACAATGGGGCTGCCTGATCTGTAAACAAATGATTAGGTTAATCCACAAGACTCTGCCCAAGTTTAATAGCTAATAACAAGACACAGAGTTTGATTTGCCAAGCTGTACCTGCTGTGGGAAGCATCTGATGAGGAAGAGCCATCTGGGGAGGAAGAGTGATCCCGACGGTCTTTCTGAGATGCAGACTCACTGGTGGACCTGAGAGTTAAAAATGAGAATCAGATGCATGCAAAGATCAACTTTAGTTGCACAACACAGGTAGATTAGGTGGTTTTTACCTCTTCCGTTTCTTTTCCTTGGATTTGTGTTTGCTTTTGGGACTTGGAGATCTGAGAAAAAAAGTTTGTTTTGAATCATTCCTGAACAGTGACGTATGCAGTGACTGTTTCTCCCTCTGTTCCTTTCATATCCTTCATAGGACATCTACTCTAGCAATACCCAAGAATAACTGTCTCTAACATACCAACTCCAAATTCAGCCAGGAGACCAATGTAAAGTTTAGATGTAGATACACATCTTCTGAAAGCACTGTAGAGTGCATGAGATCACAAACACAGCCAATCCCTAGGATCAGAATCCCATGAAAAGGCGCCACTGCTTTAAGATGTTGAAAACAAGTGCTAAATTTGCAATTCTCACACATTTTAAGGCACCTTTGGAAATCAGATCTGTGGAGCCCTGAGAATAAGTAACCAGAAAGAACCACTACCTATTACATCCAAACAATTTAAAAATGGCTAATGGTTATTAAGACTCACCTGTGCTTCCTTTTCTTTGATTCTGATCTAGAATTTAAAAAAAAACATAGTTGGTAATCTGATGTGGCAGATGTTTTTAATTATAACTTCCATCAGTTGCACCCAGTGTGTCTAATGAACACGAATTATAGAATTTGTATTCAGGTTGTTAAAAAAGCACCAGGTTTCCTGTCCAATATCAGACTTTATTCCCAAGTTACCAGAAAACTGATGTCACGCTCAATAACTTTAGCAAGGCAAGGCTGATGTTCAAAATTGATGCTGGATTACAAATGTGAATTCTGCCCATGAATCCCATCGAAGATGGTTATTAAGCAGATTTCTGGAAAAGTAAATGCAGCATACAGAGTGAGAACTACAAGCCTATCAGACAGCATGCCCCAAATTTTTATACAATCACTTTTTGCCATAGAGGGAAAAAAGATTGAAGCTTTAAGAAAATTAAAAAAAAAATTGTTTTGAAGACAGCACTACAAAAGACGTAGTAAATCATCATCATGATCAAATCGTGACATCCCTAAAATCCAATTCTCATACTGGACCAGTCACTTTAATCCTCCCTACAATCCTCTTACCTGTGTTTCTTTTTCTTTGAGCTTTTTTTCCTTTCTTTTCGAGAAGGTGATCTGCTCTCAGACCTTGAAAAGCCAAAAGGGCAAGATACATTTTCTGAGAAACTTTAAAATGTGAAAGTTCCTTTTCTTACTTCTAAATCTAAATCCCCCCCCCTCCGGAATCTAATGGATCTGAAAAAAGAATTCAAGTGTCTTGGGTTCACCCACCCACCTGCCTCTGTCTTTCTTCTTTTTCTTCTTTTGTTTTGGAGATGGTGAGCGGGAACTGCTGTAGTCTTTGATAAGACTGAGGAGACAAAGTCCAAATAATAAACAAAATTCCAGAATTCAATTCACAACATTCTACATAAGCAGCTGCCTATTATGAATCCTATCTTTCAGTCCCAAAGGTGCTTTTTCAAGAGGCAACTGGACTTTCTTGTTTTTCTTTGAAGACCTTTCACTTCTCATCCAAGAAGATTCTTCAGCTGTGATTGGATGGTAGGGAATGGAAGGATGAAGAAGCTGAAGAAGATTCTTGGATGAGAAGCAAAAGGTCTTCAAAGAAAAACAAGAAAGTCAAGTTGCCTCTTGAAAAAGCACTTTTGGGACAACCATGACCTGGATGACTGAGAATCTCCATAAACACCTATCTTTCCGTATTTTTTTCTACAAAAAGTAAAATCTCACAGGTACAAGAAATAAAGTCAATTATGCACAAATTCTAATCAAGAATGGAAATCAATCATGAACTATCTCATAAATTAGCATGTTATAGGGGTTTCATTAAGATGTAATCTTACTGCTTGTTTAATATTTCCTACATTTCAGGTACTTTATTTGAATTTGTCTTTTTAAAAAAAGTCTCCTAATACAATTGAAAAGCTCAGGTTTTTTTTTTACTGTAGTAGACATAACAACCAAAGCTACCTTGTAATCTCTTCTTGCTTATTTTCTTCCAGTAGTGATTCCTCATACCTGTACTGCTTCTGCTGCTCTTGCTGTTGTTTGGCCACTGCAGCTGTTGCTGCCTCCTTGGCCCTGCGGTTGGGGTCAAAAGAGCTGCCATCCACATAACTATCACTGATCCCAAAAGCAGCTCGCAGCCTCTCATTCTTCTTTTCACTGGCCTCAGCCAACTGATGGGTCTCTGTAATACTGGAGAAGAAAAGAAATAGTTAATAGAACAAATATATTACAATACAAGGATCCTATCAATACACAGATTGATAGGATCCATAACATGTTTTATGGAACAACAGCCTCTGTTAAGATGAAAAGTAACTATCATGATAAAACAACAACACAAAATCAATCAATGCCTTACTTACCTAGACTTCTGCTGCTGTTCCCCTTCTTTGACAACTGCCACATCTTTTTCTAGCAGCAGCATCCGAAATGTGGCCACTTTCTCCTGAATTTCCCCTTCTCCATACCTATTGTATGCATCAGAATAGAATTTATGGACTATAAAGAGATATTCCATTTAAAAGCTAAATCATTCAAATGAGGTTAAGAAAATATTTCTAAAATGCATGGATTATAAAAGATCGAACAATTCACCCTATAAAAAGTACATAACTTACTTAATATAGAATACTGATTAAAATGAAAATGTAAATCAAAAGAGTTTTAGTTCAAATTCTGCTTCTACTATGAATCTTTTAGAGCATCTTCACAAATCATTTCATCTCTTAAGCCTTCTGACCATTAATCTCTGAAAAATGTGGCCAATAATAGCCTATCTTACTGGACTATTCTATGTATTATTATTGCGTATTACCATTTATCTGTATATAACATTCAAAAATGCTTTATAATATTAGACACTATTAGTACAAAACATATTATTTTCAACCATTTTCATTTCTAGTATATCCCAAATATGATTATCCAGTTTTAAAATACTTGTAATAACCAAAGTTCTATTATGTAAAAATTTTCTTAAATTTTGATATTTTCTGAACTAATTCCACTGAAAGTAACTCAAAATGAAAAAAGCATACAGCTAATATCACAACACTGTATTCCTTTACCCCCTATATAGATATTATATTTAAAATACTTGTTCCGCTAATCATTCCAAAAAATAAATGAGACCTCTTTTTGTAAAAACTGAGTGCCAAACACCAGAAATGAGAAATTTTGGATGAAAAGCATACATCATATCATTCCCAAATCTGTATACTTTAATTAAGAGTGTTGGTTGATCGTTATTATTCTCACTCCTCTTCTCAAATCACCATCTTGTCTTGAAAACATCTTAGCCTTGACCATCCTGTAACAACTCACCCTTGCTCTTCCATGAGTTCAGCCAGTTCTAAGCATTTCAACTCAACCTTCCTTTTGCGCTCGTGATCCAGGATGTCCTGGTTGGGTTTTTTAACCAAAGATGACTCCAGTTTCCTCAGCTCCTCTTCTGACTTGTAGTCAGTCCGATCCTTCTTGTGGCGCACTGCCGAGAGATTCCTTTGCACGTAACCGTTGGTGCCACTGCCCCGGGGAGTGGGGAGTCCTATCCCATTGTACATGGCTCTCACAGACTAGCACCTCTGGTGCCTCTGATACCTAAAGACAGTATGAGAAAAGGCAGAAGAAAAAGAAAAGGGAAGCAATTGTTTTACCAAACTTTTTTCACATCACCATATGGGTATATATATCCTCCACCGCCTGCAATCAAAAGACTGCTATCTTTTTTCTATGAATCAACTACTTTTCCTTTTTGTTAAATCTCAAATCCATTCCGTCCCAGACAATACACATTTTATCATTCCCTCTTATTTTTCCTGAAAAATGCCTATTTCCTCCTTACTCATAATTTATACCTCACCACCAAATCCCATATTTTAATTTTCTCAACAGTGGACCAGAATTCAATGGTACATGCTTTCTTACAGGAACTCTTTTATTAAATAATTTCATATTCTCTACACTACTGCAACCACTCCCCGACTATTCATTTTTGTTTTCCTCAACCAAAAGTTGTAGTCAATCATCCAAAATTATTCAGCCCACAATTTTTGCTTCAATTCTCAAGATTTCAACACTTACATTCAGATTTGTTTTATCTTAATATATATCCTGTGCTCCAAGGACAAATCTATTAAGCCATTCTTTCTTTATATTATGTACATATCTTGTTTCTTTCCAATAGTTCCCGTTTAAAATCTCCTTCTCAATAAAGGAGGCAATCCTATGTATATTAACATGAAAACTTACTAGGACTTACTTCTGAATAAGAATTGGCCTGCACAAGTCATCCTCTAATCTTTTTACAAGCTTATCATCGAACCCTTTTCTTTAAAAAGCTGAATACAGCTACCACCTATCAACTAGATCCCTACCATTTACTAGTAATAATGATTTATACTGTATTATCCTCCGTCTTCCTTTACAGGCCCCTACTACATTTTCAAGAACTGAATAAGTTCATGCCTTCCACCCTTAAAAGCAAGATCTCAAGTCCAGCTCAGCCCACAAACAATATAAATAAACTGATAACTACACACACGTTTCCATATCGTTTTCTCTAGCAACATTTTAGCCGAAATAGCTTGCTCGGTGTCTTTAAAAAAAAATAATCCTTGGACTAACAGTTTGGGAATTGCATGGTGGTCCCCCCTCTACGTACGTATTAATCAGGCCCAAAACTGCTTTGCTTTTTTTTTTTTAATCAGCCACGGCTGAGTAGGTGCTGCCATCTGCTGTGACATATACTTCTTACCTTCCCTCCCAAAAAAATCCCCAACCTACCGACTGATAAGGCCTAGTCAGCCCTCTATTCTAATTCCCTGCCACCTCAGGCCCGACCTCCCTCCCTAGAAAGCATCCCAGCCCATTAGGACTCCTCCCTCAAGGCCTGTTGAGGCCCGCGATCCACCTTTACCCCTGCTTCGAGGTCCTCCCTGCCTTCCCAACACACGAAGGGCAAACCTCGCTTGCCTCTTACCTCAGGACCCGTAAAGGCCACCCCACGTACACACACACCAAGCCCGCGGCACCGTCTAGCCCCACCCCCATCTCCCCAGGCCTGCCGCGCCACCCCGGCCTCCAAGCTGCTGCTTCTCCGCGTTCCTTTCCTCGCGCAGCCCCGCGTCCCCCGACTGCTCCTCTGGCTTTTGCCTGCGCCACTCGCTCGCGCTCCCTTACCCGACGCAGCAGCAGCCGCCGCGGCGCAGGAGGAGGGGGAGGGCCAGGGGGAGGGGGGCAGGAGGTAGCCTGGAACCTCCCCCCGTCCCCTCCAATTCGCTCTCGCCTGGAACCCTCTCCGCCCGTTGGCTTACAGGAAGTGGAGTTCGTAAACGGCTGGTAGGACCTCCCTACCCACAGAGGACGAGAATAAAGACTACTCGTCCCGAGATGCCTCGCAGGCAGCACGAAGGTCGGCCGCCATTTCCTAAAGCACTCTTGGGGAAGCGAGAAGGGTGCCTTGGCACCGAATTTTCTCGGTTTCTCCTCTCACTTCCCTTCCAGCCTTTCTCTCTGTCCTTTATTCGCTATCATCAGACAGACACGCAGTACACTTGAGGAAATACAGCTCCAATCCTGGGGGGGGGGGGGTTGGGAGAGGGAAAAAGAGATGTAAATATCTGTTCCTCCCGTCAGCCACCGCGCTGTTCTAAATTAGAGTTGAAGGAGAGAGTAAATCTCGCGAGAATTTTAGGGCGGAGGACATGTGCATCGTGTCTACGTTCCTGAAACGCTATTCCTGTGAGCGTGTGTTTTCAAAGAACGCTGGGAATTGTAGTTAAGATATGACTTTCCTGTCAAAGCTGTCGCCCCAGTATCTTTTATAGGCGGACTACACATTCCAGTTGGAATTGCGAACTCCCCTCCTCAGTACATAAAAAGGAAGTCAATTGTTTTTCTAGACTGGAGAGAGCCTTCCCCGTAAAGCCCAATGGAAAACTTTAAAAATCTTCCGTAGTACTGTAGAGGGCGGATTAAAGCGATAGCCATGCTACTTATGTTTTCCCGTCATACACGGGGTTTCCCTTTTGTTAAAAATTGCTGTTTTCTGTTTCCTGATGAAGGAAATAAAAGTTATTCTTTTATAAAATATAACAATAAAGTTCTAATGTAACGATTGAAGGGGAAAAAGTTATTCTTTTGTAAATTGTAGAAATATAATTGTAGAAATGTAATGCCAATATATAAGACTGTCTATTTAACACAAATGTAACACTGTAACGCAAATGTAGCAATGCACTGCCAAATGTGTGAGAAGGTTTGTTCAATGTTTACTGCCTAAAAATCCCTCCGGAAACAGGAACTTACACTTTGAGTAGAAATCACTATCAAAGAGGGGGATTTTGACCCAAGGTGAAAATTATAAATAAACAAGATAACAGCAGATGGACGGAAGAGGTCAGGTTAACAAAGTACAACTTCAAAGTACATCTATAAAGATGAAAGAGCTTCTTAGATGTGACATGCATTGTAGAGGTATAAAATGCAGAGCTTGAAACCAGGCCATTGCTCTCTTGGAAAACATTCGAGTGGGAAGATTCCAGGAGGCTGCATTTGCAAATGCTCTTGTTCTCTTTTCTTTTCTTTCATTATTTTTACGTTATTCTCCAATAAAACTTTGTTTTGTTAACCAGACTTGTCTTTGTATTGTGAGTATCAAAATTTGGGGGTTTTACATCTCACAATCTTGGTGGAGAATGCGGGCATTAAGAGTCTCTAGGGGACACTGTTCTCAGTAAAATCAGGAGCACGCCTGTTGATTTCAACTGCCTGGAATTATCTGAGATCTAGTTTCCCTTTGCAGGCTCCGAGCCAAACTAAATTGACAACTCTGGTTTACAAAAATCAAAGAACTGGAAAAGGAAGAAAATCAGCAACTGAAGCCCAGACCAGGTAACCCAGTGCACTGGCCCAGGTAAGACACTTTTGCCCCAAAGTAGGGAACCATGCAATTGTACCTGGGTGGTCAGGAGAGCGATTGTGGGAGGATTTCTGCGATAACGGCTGTGTGAGTGTGATGGGCTGTGTTCTGGGAACACTGGTAAGTCCAGTGAGGTCCCTTACTCCCGTGAGGGGGAAGGCCAGCCTGAAGGGAAGCGAACTGGTGTTAAGAGTTTTGAGTGGCCGTCAAATCGAGAACCTCAGGGAACCATAATCAGGGAAACTCTCAAGAAGATGGGTTGTTGTTGTAAGTCATTGTTGTAAACCTAAAGAAAAAAATAACTGTAAAATTGAGTAGCTTCAAACAGGAAAACCCATCTTGTTAGCAGCAGACGCCTTGTGTCTGTGAATGGGTTTCCCAGGCTCTGCCCATGTGGAGCCAGGGTAGAAAAGGAAGTTTTGGGAAATAAGGGGAATGAGAGAAATGTGTGTATGTCTCTGTGTGTGAGTGAGAAGACCTTTTCCCCAATCAGTTTTCTGTTCTCTTTTCCTTGTCTTGGTATGTATATGTGTGTCAGAGTCTTTGTGTGTGAAGTAAATATGACTGTTACTAACCTCAAGAGAAAAGAAGATACCAAAAGAAACATCCTCACTCTGTTTGTCTGGCCAACAAACAAAGTGAAGAAAGATGTGTTTGTTTGTTTATTTTTTTCCTCTCCCTCTTAAGAACAGCCCAAAGTTACCTGCTCAGGCAGGAAATCCTATACCATTTTCTTGCCTATTAGTTCTGCTCTCTCCCTTTTGCAAATGTTATTCAGAAGTGTGTTAATGCCTTTTCAAACTCTATCTGCAGACACAACCTCCCTTCCCCCTTGCTTTTTTTCTGGCTGTGTTGTTTTGAGAGGGAGAGAGAGTGAAAAGAGAAAAAGGGGGGTTGATCTTTTTAACTTTTTCTCTGCTTAGAATTCAGGTTTGAGAATGCCCACTTTTGCAGTTTCAGCTTGCAATTTTTTCTACTCAAAAGAGGGGTCAGTAATTGTTGGACAACTTTTTTTGGAAATTTTTGAGTTTAAATTGTTTAAATTGTTTATTTATTTATTTATTTTTATTTTATTTTATTTAATTTAATTTATATGCCGCCCTTCTCCCGACGGGACTCAGGGCGGCGCACAACATACTTAAAACCAAAACATATATACAATCCCCCCCTTAAAACCGAATTAAACCAAATTTAGAGTTGCGTCTTTCAAATTCCTAAAAGACCCAGTATAAAATCCACCCTAGGTCAGGTCCGCTTGCTGAAAGAGCCATGT